GGCCAAGGAAAGACCAATATGTGGAATGCAGTGTTTTCAAATCTCCAGGTTAAATTGCTTATATTACATCTAGGATTAGTAGATCCAAGCCAATGACATCACCACATAAATGTCATCACTGCTTTTCTGCAAAAAGCATTTTAACTAACATCAAAAAGAATTTGTACACATCAACAGCTGAGCACCCTGATTACGATTGACATGCTATCCTCCCTATTTTGCTAGCAGTAGTTCCATATTAGTAGGATGAGCAAACACCCTTCTTCCACCTGTACAAAGCAATTACATAAATTCATGGGTCTCCATGGAGTGTTCTTGACAACCACTTAAGCCCTCCTGGAATTGATAAACCATCTTTCCTTCATTCTAGGGATGAACTAGTTTCTGCAGTTTCATCCTCACTGAAGCTACATGGAACATCCATAGATGACCTAATGACATAATTCAGTTAGCTGGTTAACAAGAATGGACAAAAAGGAAAATGCATGAAAGCACATGATAAATAAGTTGCATAATGTTATACTCACCCTTTAATCTGATTTGCCAATAACAACAGTTTGGTAGATGATGCATTTTCCAGATAATCTTGTTGAGGGTATTCAATTTTGGCTTGATTAGCAACCTTCAATAGAACAAAGAGGCAACTGAGAAAAAGAGAATTATTTCACAATGCATTATGGGCTAAAAGTTGACCACAGCTTGAACTCACTCTCACTTCATTTGTTGGACGCATTTTTACTCTAACTGGATCGTGATACTCTATTTTGTGTCTCCTCTCTGTGACACATTTGTCGACCTGCACATTTAAATGTAAGAAATGAACTTCAAGCCAACATTATAAATGTGAAATAACAAAGAATATAAACAGTCAAACAGAGAGATATAAAGGTAATAATAAGACCTTTGTCACCCTCGCAGATGGGCCCCTCTCCACAGTATCAAGGGACTGACTGAACTCAGGTATCAAATTTGAAGGTCTAGACAAGTTTTCATTCTTCTGGGCATTCTTAGGAGCAACATTATTATTGTCGCGCAACCATGGCTTTGCCTTTTTATTGGAAATTTTGGCATCATAGTAGCCAGGATCCTTAGACAACGAATCTGATCTCATTTCCTCAACAGCATGCTTAGAGCTTATCCTACTAAGGTTGCTACCATTGACTGGTGTTTTCCCAGCAGAATCTTCATATGTATCTAAATAAGAGTTCTGACCAAGAGGAGAGTTGGAAGTATTGTGGAAAGACTTCTGTTTTAATTGCCGATAGGAACTCCTCTCCGGTCTGTCAGAATGGATAGAGTAACAGTTTGCATCCTCCTCGTATGAATCCTGAGAACCCATCCTGGTAATATGTGCTTCATATTTCTACGAGGGCGTTAAACATGAAACTTTTTATTACACAAATCAACCAGAATAACTCACTGGATTAAAAAGAACTATGGTATCTAGGTCATAAACATATTTTCATATTCAAACTATACACCGTATACGGAAGAATTCAAGTTATTTTGATTAAGTGCTTCCATGATGAACCAGTGAAAGGACAACACCTGATTAAAGCTTTCATATTTTCAAGTTAACGGCTACAACTACAAATGATGATTGTATTTCAGTAGAATATGCAATGATGCAGAAGATAGTCCACTTACAGTATTAAGATTTGGCTGCTTCAGAAACCCAGATATACCAAGAGAATGACACTGGCTAGGATCTCCAATGTTATTTTGCTCTGCCAAAGCATTTGATTATAGATACACAGTAAGAGAACACAAATATGACAGTTAACTGTTTGAAGATACAGAAATAAAAGATAAAGCATCGCAATTAGAAGCAAGGGAACACAAGCACACTGTTGAAAGAGCTGAGATAGTGCAAAGGGAGGTAGGCAAGCATGAACGAATGAGCAAAGAAGGTCTAGTAACCAATAAAGTCATGTACATAGAAACCAACAGAAATGTAGACAATGAGAAAAAAAAAAAGAGAGATTGGGGCACACATGTTCCTGTCCCCCAAATTGCAATCACTCAATCTCAAAAGATCCTTTAACTATGATGAGCTATGTGTCTAAGAGAAATCTACATAGAGATGACCCAAAGGGAGTCCCAAGAAACAAACAGTTTTCAAGATGATAAATTTGGACATCCACAACTCAATCAAATTTGCAATAATAGCTAAATAAAAAGCACAAAATGGTAACAAATAAATGAAACAATAGTCATAGAGCCCAAATCACAAAATTCCATCTAGATGACTGAGCAGTCAAACATGAAAGCTCAGCAAGGTTGGCTTACCATTGACTGGATTTGTACTTTGGGACATAAAAGCCCCAGGAGGAAGTGGCTCAAATTCAATCCCCAGAGGTGGACCATCTTCTCGATAATGCCTTCCCAGCTGCCTCTTAACAGCAGTAATAGCAGGATTTTCAATTTCACCCTTGACTTTCAAATATCCTGATGGCTTATAACCCATATTTCTTGCACCTGCTTGGTTTTTTGGCATAATGGCTCCACGCTGTGTCAGGTATGGAGAAGTTTGTATCTCATAGGGATCACTATTATGAGAAAAAACCCGATCTTGTAAAGATGAGCTGCTTTCAGAAGATGTATCATCCATGTCACCAACATGAGGATCTTGACAACCCCTATTCACATAAGTGAGGTCTGCAGCTGGACGATCACGTCCATAAATCCCTCGACTTTCAACCTCCCTGAGATCTATGTTTCTATGATCCCCCTGCTTAATGCTGCCACATGAGTCTTGCCTGAGCCCACTAGCACGATCCTGAATAACACCACTGGAAGGATCCTGTCGCCCATTAACATGGATTTCATCTCTCCTTTTGTCTTTTAACCTTCTGTGGCAAAACCAACTAGATATCTGTTTCTCTGTCAACCCCACCTTCTCTGCTAACTGTGCTTTCATTTCATCTGTGGGAAACTTGTGCTCTGAGAAAAGCCAGAAGGTTTTTTTTTATTAAAAGATTGATAATGGCTCAGCAGCAAATTTACATAAAGATATGATAAGGAAAACATTAACTAATACCCTCATAGAAGCACTCCAGAGCATCACGCTGGGCCGGCGTCTTGAGGGTTCTTTTTTTACTCTTATCTAGAGGAACTTTATTTTCTTCAGAATGCACTTCACCTGAATCTGGGATGGATCAGAAAAGTAAAAACGAATAACTTAGATACAATGACATAAAGAACAAAAGGTATTGAGAACTGTTATCAGAAAACATTAGCTGTATTACAGTCTGTTAGAAATCATTTTCAAAGTCCTCAAGTGAAAAACATCAAGAAATTTGCAGATTATTACTCATTCTGATGAAACAAACTAATAGTAAGTTAAATATTTCCAGACTTCAATTAATTTAATTTGGCAGGAGTGTGTTCTTTGCAGATACACAATTGCAATGACAACGCTACGAACTTGCAGCATCCTAAAGGGATTAAAGCACCCATAATAATACAGAAACAAGCTTGTATAAACTTACAACTTGGAGAACAATTTTGGGTTTTTTACAAAGTCAAATGTACGCAAGTTTTTAAACCAAGGAAAACAAGCCCCCCCAATTTCGAATGCAATTGGTAATTCATTCAGAAATGCTGAATACTATAGTTTCAAATCGACACAACCCCCACCCCCCAATTCCAAATGCTTTCTCAACGACTGCAGAAAAAGAGCATTCGATTCACGCAACTTTCATTGATTCCAATAAAAACTCAAGCAAATCACCGAAAATCTCACAACCCACAATTGAGATTGAGAAACGAATGCATTTACCTGCCATGGCTGATGAATTTGAGGTAACCCTTTTTGTCTAGGTCGAGTGATTTGAAGTCAAGAAGGGAACCCCATTTCAATGTAACCTGGGTTGTATGAGCTTGACTTGAAA